TTCAAACAAAGCATAAATTTAAGCAACATATTTTTTGGATTCTGTAAATAACTGGGGGGGAAGGTGAATGTGCGGAATGAAAGCTGTACAAAGGTAGGACAAATTTGGGGTATGACAGATGCCCCTATCTAATTGGCTTAGACTGAGTAAGATGAATGGGTATGACGCTCATTCTTTCACGATAGAAGACAATTAGATATGAAGAAAACCCAGAATTTGTCTGAAAAGAAAGGATTTTGTCGTTCAAAAAGGTTACTGGCTTACCGGAAAAAATTATTTTCAATGGTCTCAGTTCATCAGACACACTCTAAAATGTTGTGACATGCTAGATCATATTGAAGGCAATCCTCCTCTGGTTACTGCTCCTAATTTCCCTTCCTGGGATAAAGATGATTCTGCTATTATTACTTGGCTTTGGAACTCCATATCTCCAGAAATTAGTAGAAATTGCATGTATCTCTCAAGTGCAAAGGCAGTTTGGGATTATCTTCGTCGAAGATATTCCATGAAACAAGATATGTCTGCTTGTTATGATTTAAAGAGGAAAATCTTCAACACTAAGCAGGGAAGTCTTTTGGTCAACGATTACTTTGGAGTTCTCAATGGTTTTTGGATTGAGTTGGATCAATATTAGAATTTGAAGATGGAGTGCAGCAAGGATACTGCCACCTTGAATACTGTTGTTGAGCGGGATATCATCTTTGATTTCTTAGCAGGCCTTAATGTTGAATTTGACCCTATTAGGGTGCAGATTTTGGGTAAGGAAATCTTAATGAAGTTTTTACATTGTTCGTAGTGAGGAGACCCGTCGTCAAGCTATGCTTCATGAACAACCCCCGGATGTGTCAACACTAGTAGCTAGAAAAACAACAAGACAAGGACCACCATCATCATCATCTAAGAATGGTCGTGACAAATTCTATTGTGAGCATTGCAACCGATCAGGGCATACAAAGGATAGGTGTTTCAAACTACATGGGAGGGAACAGGTTCTTAGACGAGGAGATAGTTCTCGCAACATGCACCAGCATCAGGCACATGTTGCCACACATGCCCATGATACTGAAAGATTTGAAAAAGGGGGAACTGATCTTTCCTCCTTCAGTCAGAATGACGTGGAACGGTTGAAGTCTATGCTTGACTACATGAGTAAGCCTTCTGGTTCTGGGTCTCTAGCAGTTACTGGTAAGAGTTTGTGTTCCCGATCTTTTACTGTTTGTGGTAATATCCCTAAGAATGCGTGGATTCTTGACTCTGGTGCTACTAATCATATGACATTTGATTCCACATTATTATGCTCTTATACCACACCTTCGAGTATTCCTTATATCACTGTTGCTGATGGCTCTCATGCTTGTGTTGTTGGCACTGGAAATATTGACTTGCAACCTCTATTTCAGTTGCAATCTGTGCTTCATGTTCCCACACTTTCCCACAATTTGATTTCCATCCATAAGCTTACCCGTGATCTAAATTGTAAAGTAATGTTTTTTACGTCCCATTGTGTTTTTCAGGACCTTACCACGGGGAAGACGATTGGAATTGCTAAGGAAAAGGAAGGGTTATACTACTTCTCTGATGACCATCCAAAGGTGTTGTCCTCCTGTCTCCAGTCTCAGTCTTTCTCTTCAGCCTCACAAATTTGGCTTCAGCACAAGCGTCTCGGTCACCCTCCATTTTATATAATTAAGTCTATGTTTCCATCATTGTTCTTAAACCATTTTGTTGAGTCTTTTAAGTGTGATGTTTGTCAGTTGGCAAAACACAATCGTGTAACTTTTCCTTCCAGTTTTAATAAAAGTGCTGAACCTTTTGATGTGATTCATTCTGATGTTTGGGGACCTGCCCCTACCTCTAATATTTTTGGTGCAAAATGGTTTGTTTCATTTATTGATGATTGTACTCGGGTAACTTGGATTTTCTTGATGAATACTAAATCCGAAGTACCACAAATATTTATCCAATTTTATAATATGGTACAAACACAATTTGGGAAATGTATAAAAAGAATTCGTTTTGACAATGGTAAAGAATATGTCAATCATACCTTCTCCAACTTCACTAGTAAACATTGCATTCTTCATGAATTCACATGTATTGACACCCCACAATAAAACGGTGTCGCAGAAATAAAAAATCGCCATTTACTTAAAGTTGCTCGATCTCTCCTTTTTCAAATGTCTGTTCCCACCTCTTATTGGGGGGAGGCAGTTCTTACTGCTGCCTATCTGATTAATCGGGTCCCATCTCGAGTGTTAGGTAATATTAGTCCTGCTCAATTTATGCTCTCACGTTTTCCCTCTGTTCCTATCTTACATAATCTTGAGTCTCACGTGTTTGGTTGTGTTGCTTTTGTTCATGTTCACAAACAATATCGCAACAAGTTGGATCCCTGTGCTGTCAAATGTATCTTTCTGGGTTATGCACCCAATAAAAGAGGGTACAAATGTTATCATCCTCCGAGTCGGAAATTCTTTGTCTCCAAAGATGTCACCTTTCATGAAAATGTGTCATACTTCACTCATTCTCAGTCTTAGGGGGAGAACATGAGTGACTTAGAGTCTGAGTCCGAGTTTCTGATCCTTGGTCCTAGCCTCCCGAGAACACCTGTAAGTGTTCCCTCTCTTGAACCCGAGTTGTCACCTAGTTTGAGTTTGAGTCCTAGTTCAACATCTGAATCTGAGTCAGTAATTGTTTCTGGTCCTTCAATGCCTTATGTTCCACAGGAATCAGGACCTTCAGCACAAACTCTAGTGTATCAGAGAAGAAGTAAATCTGACCTTCTCCAGAAACAAATTCAATCGTCTGAACCGGAGGTAAGTACTGAAAATGATTCCTCAAATGATGATTGTTCTATTTCTAATACTTGTGACACTAATCCAGTTGATTTACCCATTGCTTTGAGGAAGGATAAAAGATCTTGTCCCTCTGTATATCGACACCCTATCTCTCAATATGTCTCCACTAAACATCTTTCCACACAATATCAAAGTTTTATTGTAACTGTTGATTCTGTGAAAATCCCATTATCAGTTGAAGAAGCATTGCAAAATAGAAATTGGGTCCAAGCTATGGATGAGGAAATGAGAGCACTTGAAAAAAATGGTACTTGGGAGATTATTGAAAGGAAAAGAGACAAAAAGCTGGTTGGATGCAGATGGATCTATACTGTAAAGTATAAATCTGATGGCACACTTGATCGGTACAAGGCAAGACTAGTGGCAAAAGGTTATACTCAAACATATGGTATTGATTATGAGGAGACATTTGCCGTAGTGGCAAAAATGAACACTGTTCAAATTTTACTATCTCTTGCTGCTCCATGTGGATGGAAATTGCAACAGTTTGATGTTAAAAATGCATTCTTGCATGGAGACTTAGAAGAAGAAGTGTATATGGAGATTCCACCGGGTGTTGGCATAACAAATGAAGCTAACAAGGTGTGTAAATTGAAGAAAGCCTTATATGGACTAAAGTAGTCTCCTCGGGCATGGGTTGGAAGATTCACAAAGGCAATGGTGTGTTTGGGCTATAAGCAAAGTCAAGGAGACCACACTTTATTTTTTAAACATTCACAGGAAGGAAAATTGACTGTACTTCTTGTTTATGTTGATGATATTATTCTTACAGGAGATGATTTGACTGAGAGACATTTGCTCAAAGAGAAATTATCGACAGAGTTTGAGATGAAAGACCTTGGACAACTCAAGTATTTCTTGGGAATTGAGGTAGCCTACTCAAAGCAAGACATCTTTATCTCTCAAAGGAAGTATGTACTTGATCTTTTGCAGGAAACTGACAAACTTGGATGCAAACCTGCAAGTGTTTCCATTGAACAAAATCACAGGATAAGCTTTGAGGAGGAAAGTGACAAAGTTGACAAGGGTCAATATCAGAGATTAGTGGGAAAATTGATTTACTTGGCACACACTAGACCAGATTTAGCATATGCAGTCAGTGTAGTGAGTCAATTCATGCATGATCCGAGGGTGAGACATTTGCAGGCTGTAGACCGCGTTCTACAATATCTTAAAGCAACTCCAGGGAGAGGACTTTTGTTTAAAAGAGGTGAGAATTTAGCTATGAAGACTTACACTGATGCGAATTATGCCGGCTCAGTGAGTGACAAAAGATCTACGTCAGGCTATTGTACTTTTCTGTGTGGTAACCTTGTAGCTTGGAAGAGTAAGAAGCAAAGTGTAGTTGCTCGATCAAGCGCCGAGGCAGAATTTAGAGCTATGGCACTAGGAATTTGTGAACTATTGTGGATGAAACAAGTTCTAGAAGACTTGAAGAAACAGTGTGAAGGCCCTATGGAATTGTTTTGTAACAATAAATCGGCTATTAGTATTGCTTATAATCCTGTTCAGCATGACAAGACTAAACACATTGAGATTGACCGACATTTTATCAAAGAGAAGTTGGATAGTAGGCTGATAACTACATCTTACGTTCCTTCTGGGCATCAGCTCACAGATGTGTTAACAAAATGCTTACCAACAGAAAGATTCAGGCAACTTACTTGCAAGCTGAGAATGATAGATATCCATTCACCAGCTTGAAGGGGAGTGTTGTAAATATTAGACTGTAAATAGTAATTAGTCGTATTAGTAATGAAGCCCATTAATCAAAACCCATTATGTTTTCTATTCTCTCTTATTTAAAGCATGTAATTGCAACATTGTAAGCTGAACTTTTAATTCCATCCTTAAAATATTTTACAACAGAAGCTAATAATATTAGTTTTGGTTTTTGTATATTAACAATAAAAGAGACTAAATGCAGTTAGGACTTTGGATTCTGATCTATCGAGTAGTATGGAATGCTCAATGGAGTAATAAAAATCTAATGAAAATGGAAATTAAAATAAAAATCTATTTACAATTTTTTATCTTTAAATTGGACTATTGAAAATTGCAAGAAGCCTACACACACTGCAGGGACTGAATCTGCTGCAGAATAGAAAGCATAAGCACATATGGCTCATAGTCATATATCCACTACTTTCTCACATTTATTTGAAACACTCTATTATACCAAATTGAGTGAAGGGTCATGTGGAACAGATCATACTTCAAAGGCTTTGTATGCCAAAGAAAATGTTTCTGAACTTTTCTGACACCAAGTTGTAACTTAAGATACTTCTCTTCCGGCACCGAAAGAAGTATCTGTTTCAAGTTTGGAATATCTTTCTCCGCGAGTATTAATGAGAACGCATCCCAATTTAAAACCTCGAAAAACGGTGGAACGAAATTGTCAGATATGATCACTGGTACGCACTCGTAAAAGAAGGCTTCGACCACCCGAGGGCTGTTGACTTCATATCCCTTGGGGCATATGCAGTATTTGCTATTCTTCATGTGTTGGATGTAACTCATTTTGTTTGCAACACCATGAGGCATGGGGCCGAGGATCTTCATATCAGGGTCTTTGTCTTTCCAGTGCTTTAGCAATATCGGGCGCAAATAACCGTGCATGTTTCCAGCATAAAAGGCAAGAATGGATCTTTGTTGAGGAGGTTTTCCACCTATATCTCTTTGAGGATTTCGTACCGACCGGACCATAGTTTCTGGAAGAGCAACGTCTCTTCCTATTTTAAAGCCTTGAGTTACATCAGAATTGCATAGCGCTTTTATGCAGTATTCCATATGATGCCTTGTCTCATACGGAGCCTGCAACATGAGATGTAAGACGTCTATCAAACACATCCAATTCAACCATAATAGAATAATATTTTGAAAGACGATACATAAAAAAGAGCAAATGTCATACCCAATCATGGCAAGCAACAAGAAAATGGTCAGCGCCGCCAGTTCGGTTAAAGTAACGATATTTTGCTGAAATTGTATCTGTATAATCATTCAAATATCGACGGAGATTTGTCCGATTATGAGAGTTACGTACATAAACGGAAAACTCTAACATTCGTGAACTAAAGGGCATATAGAATAGGTGAGCCTTTGCAGGATCCTTCACAACGAATTGCTTATTTTCCTCCATCAACATCATAAACCAACCCTCCGACGCATATAGTCCCTTAAGTATAGGTTGATGAAAGATCGGTTTTTTTCCTTCCATGTATATATACACTTTGAGCGTGCGTTCCATCAGTTCATAGCTCCTGCATATGCAACAATGAAAGAAACTTACTTTAGTCGGAGTTCGTATTTTGTTCAACAACTTCACGCATCAATAACCTTACCTTTTGAACATAGAATGATTGCGAAAAAGCGGAGCATAAAGTTCCGCATCACGTGTTACGATAGGAGCATGCTCGATCTCCGACCTTGCAGCAAGAATTTCCATATCAAGTTTGGACGACCACCTTGGTCTCTACAATCAAAAGTAGAAGTCCGTATCAAAATAATCAAAACTCCACAACAATATAACTTGTCCATATAGCAACTAGCAATGATCATAATCGACAAAAATAATAATACCATTGCACGAGAAGAAGCGCGACGGCGCTGTAGTAAATGGTTCATCTCCTGTATTAACATTCTTGACTTAGGAGGCATATTGGACTTCGACTTTCTCGCAGTAACATTCACTGTAGTACTTTTTACCACCCGAGAAATTGTAGAAACCCCCCTTTCTGTCTCCGAAAATCGCTTCACCGGAAAGTCCACCTTACTGTTCTTAGCCAAAACTGCCATGAAACTTTTCTTGGAACCTACATTATCCAACTCTAAGCTGTTGTTTTTACCAACATTGTGAAAACCATTTCTATCTAGCCCAAGTTTAGAAACACCATCAAAGACTAAACTACTCTTTTCATCTTCAATAATGGGAATATTCGCATTCTTCATCATAGAATTGAACGCAGAAGAATCAGAAGACCAAGGAGCTCTTCCATTTCCATATGGAACCAAAATTGATTGAAACAATAAATAATTAACACCAAGTGCTGCCAACAGACAAAGCAATCTCTTGTTTCCCATATCACACAACTCATGAAAATATTGAAACATGTTAACTTGTCAAAACGGAGATAACCCCAAAATCACTTCAATCATCATTTTCTCCGAAAATGAACTTCAATTCCCCCCAAGTCAGTTAATTGACAGAATCCTTGAAAAGAAATCAAAGGGTCCTAAAAAAATTGGAACTTGAAATAATTAGAGAAAGTTGCGGTAGTTTTCAGATCAAATAAATAAGAAGGAAAAAAAAAACAGAACACAGAAGAAACTATTAATGTTCCTTAAACATTGTTGTTGATTGAAGTAACAGTACTAACCTCAGTGAAGTGTTATTATAGTTCACTTCAATCTTTGATTTTTGCTCTCTTTTCGATCTTCAACTTTCTCAGAAGTCAAACAAAGAATCACTACTCACTATTAACGCTCAGAAGAAGAAAAGATTAAAGTAAGTAACTTCTGAATCTAAAGCCAACAACTTGCTAATTTTATACTACTAATTTTGCATAAATCATTAACATTATTAATTACTGTATAAGCTATCTAAAAATAATAATATTTCTTTTCACTTTCTTTTTCACTTTAATTTCTATAGACAAACACCTTGGTTATCTTTTTACATTGTATTGTTGCCAAATTGATGTAATGAAATTATGTTGTTACTATGTGAGGGCAAGTTCTAAGGCAGATGAAATTTAATCTTAATTGGTATATGAAAGTTGTAGATGAAATTCTAACGTAGTAGGTTTTGTAAATATTAGATTTAGATTTAGTAATTTTTATCTCTATTATCTAAACCTATTAGATTTAAATTTATATCTATTTAAATTAGTTTATTTTTATTAATAGTTGGTCAAATATTGATTTGTGCTAAATTTAGTAGGAAGAATTACAGTTTGATCTGCGGTCGGAGGGATTGAAATTATTTGATGTCAGAATTGACTCTCGAATTAGATTAGTCGATCCAGTAGACCGAATATTATGGTGAAAAAAATTTAAATGTAAACTACAATTTTAAAATACATTGAAACACTTTTTTAACAAGGTATCACCGCTCGTGATTTTAAGAGCATCGCTTTCCCTTAAATCCTAAGGGTTATTATTGCAATTTATTTTATTTTTGTCTTAATTGCAGATCGTTTGAAATTTTGAGGCACCGTTCATCCGCGTTTACTACTCACTTAGAAGGAACTGCTTATTCTGACGATGTTGCTCATGTGTCGGTATTGTCCTTTTGAACCAGAGGTAAGTACCGTAAAAAGACTCGTATGATAATTTTTAAAGTTTTGACACTTGTTATACTTATCTAGATGATTTACCTATTACTTTGAGAAAGGGTAATAGATCATGTCTTTCTACATATAGATATCTTATTTAAAAAAATTTCTTTTCTAAGAAACTTTATCCACAATATCAGAGTTTTATTAAATGTGTTGACACTGTGAGAATTTTATCATCTATTCAAAAGGCATTGAAAAACAAAAAATAGCTTTAAGTTATGGATAAGTAAATGAAAGCAATTAAAAAAATGGGACATGTAAAATTGTTGAGAGACAGGGAGGTAAGATTTCAGTTGGTTGCAAGTGGATCTAAATAGTGAAACACAAGCAAGATGACACCCTAGGCAGTTACAAGGTCAGACTAGTGGCAAAATGATATACTTAGACATGTGAGATTGATTATAAGGAGACATTTGTTCTAGTGGCAAAGTTAAATATTATTCAGACTACTATCTCTTATGGCTCACTTTGGTTCAGAACTACACCAATTTGATATAAATAAAATTCTTTCTTTCATATGGACCTAGAGGATGAGATGTATATGGAGATTCCACCTAGCTTTAATCTTACTTTTTGAACCATCAGCGTATATCAATTAGAAAATACCTTATATGTATTAAAGCAATCACCTTTGACCTAGTTCACAAGATTCACAAAGGTCGTGGGCTTGGAGGTATAATCGTAAGTTGGTTTTGATGGTGACAACTGATGTGTAATACCCTAACTTTTATCCCTAACATCCCACGTGTCATTTTCATTTCATACCACAAATAATATCACAAGTTTTGGTTCTCTTGTCTTCCTTTGCAGGTTTGTCTTTGAGGGATATTTTTGGGCACCCTTATTTTCTTGTATGCTTGGTGTTTGTTTATGTTTATATTTACTAATCATGATTAAAATCCAAAAGTATGTTTGTTTTCTTTTTCTTTACTAACTCTTTTTCAGGAAGAGGTTGGAATCAAGAACATCAATCAATAGTCCCTCAGCTCGAATGAAATTCAATTGAAAAAAGTCAAAGTTGATCTATAAATAATTCAAAATCATCTAATCAAGAGTTTCTCAAGATTTGATTGATTTCTATTCAAGAGACTCAAAGGTTCATGTGTTTATTTCCATGCCTTCTTTGACAAGTCAGAAAAATCGAGCCAGAACCAAGACAACACATCAAAAGGAAAATTTTCACAATTTTTGTTGTGTTAATCGATTAACACTATATGGTTAATCGGTTAACCAGTGCGTTTTTTGTGAAAATGAGACAAATTCAAATTCTGCAGCATTTTTGACACCAAATTCAAATATTTCATCATGAGAATATTCTAGATCACTTCATTTTAATTCCCCTACCTCATCATAACTGATTCCCACCATACACCTTCACTAATCACCACTTGATCTTGATTTTGCCTCCAAATTCAAATTCCAAGCCTAATTTCGGTTTCATACCAAACTTCAATCCACCAAAATTTCCAAGCCTAAATCCTATAAATAGAGGTCTCGTTTCATTCATTTCACAAGCTTTGATAGCCAAATTCACCTTGCTAAAATTTCTCTTAATTTCCTTCAACTACCGAATTCACTAAAGCTCTTTCTTCCTTTGAAAGTTAGTAAGTTCATCATTAGAACTTACTAATCTTTGAGCTATACCTCCACCCATTCACTTTTTCATCATCAATTTCAGTAGATCAAGACTTTGAAGTGTGGTTCTTGGAGTTATTTGAAGCAATTTCAGATTTGAAGTGGTAAACCCTCATTTCACCATTGTTGTTCTTGATCCATCCTTCACAATGTAATCTATTATTGATTCTTATTGCTTGATCTTTGGATATTGCAAATTGTATTTTATTGGTGATATTTGTTGTTCTTTTGCTTGAAATTTAGTGTTAATTCTCATTCGTGACCATGAGGTGTTCGAAGAAGGGATTGGATCATGAATGCTGAATTGTTTCAAATTTTTTTGATGTTCTGTCAGGGTTAACTGATTAACCAAATGCAGTTCAATTTGATTAACCAGTTAACCGGTGTCCAGAATGTGTTTTTTGTTCTTTTTTGGGACTGTTTTGGTTCTTTCCTATTCTTCTTCCTTTCTCTTTTGATTTTTGTCTTGGTTTGCACTTTCAAAGGTTCTATTCCTCTTTAAATTCAATTGACTTAGGGTGTAGATGAAGTTGGATAAACATTCACTAATTTAAATATATCTTCAAAGTGAATTATTCAATTCATTTTAGGGTGCTTTGAGTTAATGATATGTTTAGTGTTTTAATCCACCAAAATGAGTGGTTGAACTTAAAGATGGAATTATCTTGAAATTGTAATTCAATTTGGCTTTCCCTTTCCTCTTCTCTTTTTTTCTTTTGATCGATGAAAATCTTCGATATCATTGAAACTTATTTCAAGTTCTTGATGAAGATGAGATTGTTACCTATTTTCTTTTCGTGCGGTATTGCTTTCAGAGAGTGATCTACATATCACTTCTCTAGTATGCATTAGCACTAAAATTGTTATTGACCGGCCTCAGATAGTTGTGGTTTCTACATAAACTCGATTACGATTGCTTAACATAGCGCTAAATTGTCCCGTATCAGTAAATGATCATTTGTGGCTCAAACTTATGTTTGAAAGTCCAAGCATGATTGATTATTTGTCTTAGGTCCATTACCTATGAAACTTGTTGTTAGGAGGCTTTGATTTTACCAATCCTCCAATGAGTCTTCATTAACTTTGGCCTAAGTTCATCATTTGACCATCGTTGATCATTTGTTCTAACAACTAATCACTAACTCACTAACAATATTAGTGTACTAAATTTGTTTATGTTTCTTTCTCGCTCTCTATCTCTCTTTTATTTTTATGTTCCATTATTATCATCTCATATCATATTATTGTTTATTTTTCCGGTATTTTTCATTTGTCCACTTGGACCATTTGTTTATGTTTATGTTTTTTTTCTTCTGTCCATATGGACCAAAAACATTAATAAAGACTTAAACCCCTAAAAAACTTGGTGCTCTTAATTTTGTGGTTATGCTCATGGATGGACTTGGACCTTGGAATTCTTGGATTATTCTTAGACCCCTGGACTTAGAATTAGGACTTTTTTCCTATGCTTGGAGTAATATGGATCTTTGCCTTTATTTGACTTGCTCATTTGTTTATGCTTCTAGACGGATATAATTCTTATTTCGTTTTCTATGAAGTGTGCTACAATTCGGTTAGATATTTCTTATCTCTAGCTTTTATTTTGCTTTATGCTAGTCATTTCTTCTCCACCCCTTCTTTAATTTTCAAAATCTTCTCTCCTTTTCAAAACCTTCTTACTTTCAAACTTAAAACCGCTTTCATAAAAAACCTTGACTTTTTTCAAGTGATTTTCAAACTTTGTTTTCTTTAATAAATATTAATCAATGTTAATCATATTTTGACCAATTTCAAAAAGACATAAAAAATATAAAAACTCACCAACTCTTTTTGTGCCTTTGTGCACTTTTTCTTTTAAGACTTTTTCATAAGTTTAGGCATGATTCATCTCTTTAAATGGAATTATTCACTTGAAAATTATGACTTGTCTTTACATCTAAAATCAATGATAATAAACATTTTTTTGTTATTTGTACCAAAAACTACGGGATTTTGATCCTATATTGCACTTTGTGGGTACGTAGGCATGAGGCGATAAGCCTCTCCAAACACAAAAATCTTAAAAAATAATTCTCTTCTCATCTCCCCAATCTCCTTTCAAACCAAAAAGCATAGATATTTCAAAGAGTTCCTATAGAC